TGCTGGGCGAGGTGACGGCGGTCGCTGCGGTATCGCGTGAGCCAATCAGCGTGGTCGCACCACAACACCACGCGCGACGGGGACTGAAAGGAGAGGGAAACGCTGCCGTCAGGTCAACACGGTGGAACAGGAATAGCAACCTGACATTGTCCATCTTAGACAAGGTCCCTGACCTGAACTGAACTGACCTCACCTGAGGTGACACCTTCGCGACGACGGGACTCGCCCTTGTCTCTCTGCTCTCTTCTTCCCTCCTGCCATCCCACGGCTGGAAGTCTGCCGCTGTCTCCGCCCACCACCTACCTGCCTGCCCCCTCCATCTCATGGTGTAGTGACTCTAGCTTGCCTTAGGTAGCTTCTGGTCTTTTGTCTCCCAGCTTCCACCCCTCCTCCTCCGTCAACACCTTTTCCTTCCTTCCTCCTCTCGATCCGTTCAGTGCGCTTCGTAGCCACGTTTTTTTTCTGCAAGACGCGACCCAGTCAGCCAAATGGCCTGCCGTCTCTTCTTTGGTTGCTGCGAGGAGTGAACAACGCAAAAGTTTGGACCGAGTTCTCAGTTCGTGGTTACGTCGACTTGCAGCGCCCCCCAGAAGGGAAATCCAAACAAATTCACGGGACCCACCACGACGGCCTTTCCGCCTCGACAGGCCCAGTAACAACAGTACCAGCAACAGAGAAACACCACAATACCCATCGATACCAACGTCGCTTGTTTCAGCATTTACGGCGCCAATTCATCTTCAGCGGCCATTCATTACGGCTCTTAATTGTTAATGCCTTCAATAAGCCGACACGATTCGACCGCAGTCCCCTTATTGCTCCTCTAGCCCTGAGGCTCCGCGCGACCCCCAACCTCGAAATTCACGGACGCAACTTTTTGCGCTTGCACAGAAACCATCATCCAAGCTCGCCAGAGCTCAACCACGCTTGCCAACCCTAGCCGCCCGCCCTCCCGGGACGCTGGCCACCCAGATCGACTTTCCAGCCATCCCACCCGACGACTATTTACCACTTGCGCGCGAACCCATGGCCACAATCTCTCGTCGACGGTAACCCCCTCCATCGAGCCGCCTGCATCTCTTCACCACGCCGTGAGAATGGCGCCCACCAGCGCAGCCATCACCGGCCTGCTGCGTCAGGTCATATACTATCATGTCGACCATCACACTTATGACAACGCCCTATTCTTCGCCGAACGCCTGAATGCTCAGGACCCCAAGTCGAGTGAATCGGCTTACCTGTTGGCGCTTTGCCATCTCCGCCTTGGCGATGCGAGGACTGCTTTTGAGGTCAGCAGGCCGTCTGCCTCTCGTGGATCCAACCTGGGCGCCGCCTGGATTTTTGCGCAGGCTTGCCTCAAACTCGAACGGTACAAGGACGGCATCAACGCGCTGGAAAAAGCGCGAGAGAAGTGGATTGGCAAGACGAACCTGGGCAAACATACCACAACAACCCGATCACTATATCCAGACGAAGCTGCGGTTTTATGTCTGCTAGGAAAGCTGTACCGAGCATACGATGACCGTCGAAGGGCGATCGAGTGTTTTGAGAATGCCGTCAGGGTCAACCCCTTCATGTGGGACGCTTTCCAGGCTCTTTGCGACATGGGTGTGAATGTCAGGGTCCCCAACATCTTCCAGGTCACCGATTCACTCACCCATAGCTTCGACCAAGACCCCAGTGTGGTTCTCCAGGAGCCCAAGGAGGGCACATCGAACTCGTTCGAGCCCAAGAAGCACTCGGCCCGGACTATGATGGACTCATCAGATCCTTTCAACCTTCACCGATCCTCGACGTACCAAGACATGCCCTTTAGTGCCAACGTTTTTGCTGCCGAGGCGGAAGAGAACGACTTTATGTCAAAAATCACGGCGGCAAAGGCGAGACTGGCACCGCCAGCCACGGCAAATGGCGAGTCCGATCTTATGGAGACACCCACCGGTCCCGTATCGATGCCCGAGGTTCCGACATTGCGTAACTTCGCTGCTGAGCCACCTCAAGCGCCGCCTCGGAGGACACGGACGGCGCAGGCCGTGGAGCCAGGCTTCCTGGAAGCACCTCCAAAGATGAGTTACAGACTAGGTGCCAAGAGAAGCACTAGGAGTCAAGATAAGGATCAAACCGTCGAGTTGCACTCTGACACCGGCACGGGTCCCGGAATCTTGCGGACAGCAGCACCCTCGGAACGAAAGAGGACAGTCTCGGGGCACCCTGTTCAGTCACGACAGCATTCCGAAGAAGTCAGCGCTCCTACGCAAAGGAGGAGTGCGAGGCTAAATATGAACATGTTTCACAAGCCGTCAGTCACCAAGGCGAACTCGGGCGCTGCTACCATCAGCGGCGGGACTCGCGAGTTGAAGAAGGCTAGACCCCAAATCTCTCGAATCATGCGGCCTGGCTCTAGTGGTTCCAGTGTCGGTAGGGTCGTAAGTGGCAACCGGAAGCCCATCGAAGACAATGGCATGGACGTCGACCATGCCGAGACCACTCGAGTACGGGAGCCTCACGCGATCCAGCATGCTGTGCCAAGAGCTGCTCTTGTTGAGCCCGACAACGTCAAGATTGAAGAGGCTTTGAAATGGATCATGGACTTGCTCAAGAAGTTCGCTTCTGGCTACTTTGCACTTAAGCAGTTCAGATGCCAGGAGGCTCTGCATTCCTACGGCACTTTGCCCCGCAGCCAACAGGATACACCCTGGGTTCTGGTCCAGATGGGCAAGGCGTACCACGAGCAAGGCTCGTACAAGGAGGCCGAGAAGTTCTTCAGGAAGCTGCGTGTTGTGGCTCCAACGCGAATGGAAGATATGGAAATCTACTCAACCATTCTTTGGCACTTGAAGCGCGAGACAGACCTCTCTTTCCTGGCCCACGAGCTTGTCGATGCCGACTGGGACTCGCCTCAGGCCTGGTGTGCGTTGGGCAATGCCTCGTCTCTTTCCCGAGACCACGAACAAGCACTCAAGTGTTTTAAGCGGGCTACGCAACTAGATCCAGGTTTTGCGTACGCCTTCACTCTGCAAGGTCACGAGCACGTCGCCAATGAAGAGTATGAAAAGGCTATGGCGGCCTTCCGTCGCGCCATCGCTGCCGACAAGCGTCACTACAACGCTTACTTTGGCATTGGTGGTGTGTACGAGAAGCTGGGCAGCTACGACAAGGCATACTCACACTTCCACACCGCGTCGATCATCAATCCGACCAATGCTGTTCTCATCTGTCGCATAGGAGGGATTTTGGAGAGGCAGAAGCAGATTCTTCCGGCGCTCCAGTTCTTCAGCAAGGCTGTGGAGCTAGCGCCCAAGGCTGCGATGGTCCGGTATCGGAAAGCCCGCGCACTCATGCTTCTCAGACAGATAGATGCTGCGGAGAAGGAATTGTTGATCGTGAAGGACATGGCACCAGACGAGGCGATGGTGCACTTCCTTCTTGGTAGGCTGTACAGGAATGCCGGGGAGAAGCAGATGGCGGTACGCTGCTTCAGCAACGCGCTCGCTCTGGATCCAAAGGTATGCTATCCGCGTGTAGTGATGAAGCCCTTGGCTAACCGCATCGAAAGGCCAGCGTATCGATCAAGGAAGCGATCGAAAGCCTCGAAGAGGACATGAGCATGGAGGACTCGATGATGACATGAGTATATGGCATATGAGTTTCTTGGCTTCAAGTCAGGGCTTGCCCTGCGAGGCAGAGAATAGCGATTTCTGCATTTTCAGGGGTTGTGCAAGTATAGGAGATGAGTCTGGGTATGACGGAACGAGGCAAGTCCGCCAAGCTTGGGTTTAGGCATGGTATAACAGCACGATGACACGGATTCATGTTTATCGGCATGCTGCATGGCACCGGCGTTTGGGAAAGCAAAGCAGGGAGAGCATACTGGCTTAGGAAGGACACATTATGTCCTCTTGTATATTAACGGCCTCGCGTTGACCAGGCTGCTCGGTAGACAGGTCGTGACGAGAAAAGTAATGCATCACTATTCGCAACACCTCACGACGCTGTGTGGGCATTTTTGCTATGTTTGCTGTCAATCACAGAGCCTGACGGCTTGTTGTGCGGGCGGGTGCTGGAAAGCGGGCCTCGGCAGCGGCTTACGAGAGATGCTAAGAATGGCTCGGGCTATGCTTATCGACATTTTTTAGCCAGAACAAGTCTGGAACCCATTCGATCTGGTCCCCAGACCCCAACATTGTTGCAGTGCAATCGATTTCCATCCCAACACGGACCAATGAACTCCATGCTAGCCAAGGTACTCAACAGTGAATCATTCAGAGGGCGCCTCATCTCCTGTGTTTTCCAGAACGCGCCCACCTCAGATCGCGACTGTTGATCGATGGCCGATGGTGGGGGAGACTGAGACCCCTTGCATGAACTCGGTGGAGAGATGAAAATGCAGCCAATGAAAAATCAGTCCAGCGGTAGCGGAAAGAACTAAGCGGACGGCAGGCAGCGGGAGGACACCTGACGCGTGACAAGAGACCGGTTGCAAAGAGCTCGGTCCACTCAAAAAATCGCCCGCACCCTGCATTGGGCAACTGGCTCAGCTGCGACTGCGAGCACCCCTGCCTGCTCCAGCTGGTCAGAAAAAAAAGGCGGTGCACGGGGCAAGCCGGGTGTCCCCATTGCAATTGACAACACAAGACCCAACGCACCTGCTAAAACAACGCTTTGCAACAGGCCGCAAGTGACTTGCAAAATACGCGGCAAAAAATAGGGACCTTACCGTTTCGCTATTTTTCCAAAGTCCAAATTGGGACTAGCCTACTGATCCGGACCTGCCTCTGCTACCACTGCACGCACCGCACCTCAGCGCACCACACAATCAGTAACCCGTTCCCCAGACTTGCAGCACTGCCTTATTTATTCCTCTCCCCCTCTTTCTCTCCATTCCCGCTCCCCTTCTTACACACCCCAACGTATCCATCACCAAACAACGTCATCCAACATCTCGTCTTCGAGACACAACTACATCCACTTAACTATCCACCTCAAACAACTTCATCAACATGACTGGACGTAAGTAATCTTTTGCTTCCTTTTTCCATCGTCACCGTCGTGGTGTTTGCCGCTCCAGGTGTCGTTGCGTACCCCGCGGTTGGTGCCCACGGAGGCCCATCGGCATGCACTGCCGTACGCGGACGCGTCGCCACGCCTCTCAGGTCGCGTATACACCAGTCGGCATCATCACGACAACTACATTTCCATTTCTTGGACAACGTGCTGACTGTCCCTCCAGGCGGCAAGGGCGGCAAGGGCCTCGGAAAGGGTGGCGCCAAGCGTCACCGCAAGATTTTGCGTGACAACATTCAGGGTATCACCAAGCCCGCTATCCGCCGTCTCGCTCGTCGTGGTGGTGTCAAGCGTATTTCTGCTAGTAAGTTCCTCTTTCTCTCCACTGCAACCACAACCAGGTCTAACAACCCCTCCAGTGATCTACGAGGAGACCCGTGGTGTCCTCAAGTCCTTCCTCGAGGGTGTCATCCGTGACGCCGTCACCTACACTGAGCACGCGAAGCGCAAGACCGTCACCTCCCTGGACGTTGTCTACGCTCTCAAGCGCCAGGGCCGCACCCTGTACGGTTTCGGTGGTTAAGCGTGTCGTTACGACACGGTCGAGCTTTGTTTTGCAGCTTCTTGGTATCACGCAGCCGGGAAGGCCGTTTGGCAAGGCTTGGTGCGGATGGTTCATTGGTCTTTCTCATCGGTAATGGGATATGGATACATCACGTTGATTTAAGGCGTTGGGGATCACACGAGACTCTGGGAATGATACTACTCGAGGCGTCGATAGGCAGACGCGTTTGTCCGAATGAAACAACACCGAAATGGTGACTTGAACATATCGAACCAACCCCGCTGTGCATGAATCGTGACGCGGCTCATTGTTTACATGTCTGAATTCGTCTAAATGGACCGGCTGCCGTCTACACTGCGTGTGCCTCAGTCTGGCTGTAGGCTGTATTACTGCAGGTGACTCATTGCGCCAAGTACTTGTTCTCGCCTCTCTCCACGTTGGCATGATGCTTCTGTCCATGTCGGTCTAGATATCACAAGTATTTCCTTCCTGCCGCTGCGACTCTTGCTCTAAACACCGGGCTCTTCACCTCCATATTGAGTCTGTAAAATGGGCTCATTATCGCTTTAACCCAGTTCTCGTACACCTCCTGAAAGAAGTTCTTGATCGCCTCCTCGGTCGCAGGACTCGTCGGGTTGGCGCCGATGGCTGTTGATGATCGTGAAGACGCGGTGCTGGAAGGTGCAGAAGGCTGGTGGAGTAGGAGGAACTTTACGTTGCCTGCCGTCACGAAGCAGGAGACGTAGTTGTTGAAGAACTTGTCGACCACCTTGAGGTATCTAGGCAGGAATTCCATCGTCAGCATGTGCCAGGCGCATGATCACCACCAAAAGCCTCCCTCCACGGATGGAACATACAATTGACCCTGTGCCCACTGAACCTCCTCCACGATGTCCAGACTGCTGTGCAGGATGAACTGGTTCAGATGGCGAATCTGCTCGTTGAAGCGCGACTGGCCGTCGCCGCCCTGCTTGGAGGTGCCGAACTCATATTCAAAGAGCGGGTTGTCTTGCGTGCCAACGATGGCGAAGTAGTACGACATTGTTCACCGCGACATCAGTGAGTCTCGCTGTGCTGTCGCTGAGAGAGTTTCGATTGTAGGCCCGCGGCGCAAAGCAGATGGCCTAATGTTGTTCGGAGTTTTGTCGTCGTGGAGTGAGGATGGTCTCGAGCGATTCGGGATACTCTCTCTCGCTGGCCTTTCGCGCTCCTTCACCGAAGTCACTGAAGCACCCAGCGAGAGCTGCCAGCTAAGGTAGGCCCGCGGGGCGGACGGGCGGTGGGACCCCTCCCCCCGGGTGCGCTGCGACGACCAGTGGGAAATTCCGCGCGCGAATGGGAACCTTGCGCTGCGCCAGCCAATTGGCTCCACTCTTTTTGGTGCAAGCTCCGAAATTTCCTAGAATCGAATGTCTGGCTTGCACAATTGACGCCTCGAGCTGTTCGACTCCCTCCCCCTCCCTCGACGACGACTCATTTACGGCGACCCGTGTACGATTGACAGGCCCTTTCTATCCTACTTGCATATCGGACGGAGAGCGCGAGCGACAAACCGATAGAGGACCGCTGTCACCGCCGCGACTCGGCAGGAGACACACATACACACATCATGTTCGGGGCGTTCCGCATCACCTCGCCGCTGTCGGGCGGTCTGCTCTGGAAGATCCCCTGGAGGCTGTCCAAGTTTCAGAAGAGGAGGCACAGGCTGCGTCTGCGCGCCGTCGACGACGTCGTCTCCACGGTGGACGCGGCGCTGGCGAAGCAGGGCGAGACGGTTGCTGCCGTGGAGCGGTGGAAGGCGGAGATGCCCACCGAGGCGGAGATGCTGCCGAGGGACAAGTACACCATGTTCGACCGCAAGGAGAAGAGGTACCGCAAGGGCATTCACAGTATGTTGCTTCTCTTCCTGCTTCGTTGTTCCGCCCAAACGGGGTGTCTTCAGAGGGGGTGGCATGGCTAACTTTTGATATCTGCAGAGCTGCCCAAGTGGACGAGAGTATCTCAGAGATTGAACCCTCCCGGATACTAAACAACGACGATGACGAATGCCGAATGTTTTGTTTGAAAGGAGAGGACGTGAAGGGAGGGATAGCGAGGGTCGCCGACGGAGAAGGCAAGCAATTGTATGATTCTTCACATACTTGGTTGCTGCCGAGGCTCTGTCGCGGGGAACAGCGAAGACGTGAGCTCTCGCTGCTTGTTGTACATTATGCATGTATGTGGGTTCAAGAACAACCGCGTATAATGCAAAGCCATGTAGAATGACACGTGCTCAGAACGAGCACAAACTCCAATCATGTCCCGAATGATGTCAAATTGAGGGTATCGAATCCCGAATCCTGTTCCCGTGAAAGCATATTTACCCGCCTATATGGTATGTCAAAAAAACCCCAATGCTTTTCTTATCTCTAATATTCTCTTCCTCCCTCTCTGTCTTCTCTTCCAGGTAAACGCGCGCCACAGCTTGCCGTGTCAGCGCCTCGTCTTACCGTCCCTCGTCATACTCTCCACCGCGGTCTTGGATGGCCCTTCCGAGTCCGCCTCTGCCCTCGTCGTAATCCTCGCGGTACTCGTCGCGCACCTGCCCGCCGCTCTTACCGCGGCCGTACTGGCGGCCCTCCTCAAAGCCGGGGTCGAGGTCGGTGCGAATGACGCGCTCGTCGAGCTTGGTGCCGCCAATGTACTTCATGCAGTCGAGGGCATCCTGGTGAGTGTAGTACTCGACGAAGCAGAAGCCGCAAGGGGTCTTGTTGAAGCGGTCAAGGCCCATCACGAGGCGTTTGATCTCGCCGCATTTGGAGAAGAGCTCGTACACCTGCTCCTCGGTCGTGTAGAAGGAGAGGTTGCCGACGTAGAGCGTCGTCGCGTGGGCAAGGGGGTCCTCGGCGGGCTCGGCTGACCTGGAGTCCTCGTCGTCGCGGTGGTCGTTCTTTCTGCGCTTGTTCTGGAGAGAGAGCGCTGGTGTTAGCACAGGAGACGGTGCGAGGGAAGAGTGGGAAGGCGTACCCTGCTGTGGTAGTATGCGCTCGGCCTATCGAGACGCTCTACTGTGTTTCTTACGCCGTACCGCATCTTTGCAGCTTGTGGGGTTGTGGGAGATAGCAATTGGTTTGGTGTTGCGCAGGTCGGATCAATGTGAAGGATTGGCCGACAGTTTTGTTGCTTGAGATTGGCTCTGAGATCAAGGTATTTGATGAGGTGAGGTACCTGAGGCAGGCTCCAGTTGCGCGAGAGTCCTCGAGTGATCTGGATCTGGTGGCCCGTGCATGCAACCTCACGGGTGACAACGAAGGGCTACTTCCCGATTTTGACCACAGGTGAAATAGGTTGAGGACAGCTGTATCGTAATTTTTTTTTCTTTTTTCCCCAAATATCCATGAGCTGATTATTTCTGTCACACGTTTACTTCGATTGGAGATTTGGAAGTTTTAGTAAGAACATCATAGTCTTCCGGGGTCTCTGCTTCATTTTCACTTCTCATCGTAAAAGGCTTCGTATAAGACCAATATCTTCAAGTAATTTACGGAAATTCTCTGCTCTTCAGACATCGACTATCATTCTAGTTAGGCAGCATTAGGCGGCTGTTCTCAACTTCACTGCGAATTGCCGTGTTGTAAGTTTAAGCTTGCGCAACTGTGATTGGCTCAGCTCCGGAACAGAGGTGCTGGGTTAAGGTAGGCGGAGCTCAAAGTGGGTCTCGCTGCAGCAACAGCGACTCTCTCTGGATTTTTGTCCAGGAACATTTCAGCGACCAGCCATCAAAGACGTCTGGAAAAACTCGGCCGACGACCTCAGCATTTGGCAGCGATCCTGCAAGACCCACGAAATCGCGCGCAGCTGTAGAGACATATTTTCGACACATCAAACGGGTAACAGCCACGCAATGCCCAAAGTTAAGAGCTACACGGCTCCGTGGCTGTCCCATGGCCCCGGCCACAGCTTGTTCGCGCCGTCAACCGACTCCAAGGCGCTGAGCGCGCCGTCGCCCTACCCCAAAAAGAAGAAGACCGTCGGACCGAGGCGGACAATTGCTCGCAGAGGCACCGAGGTTTTTGTCGCCGTAGGCAAGGAGCTGCGATGGGGCGATTTAGCATACCTGAAGGAGAAGTGGTCAACAAAGTATGGCCATCGTCGCATGGGCAGCCGTGTCAAGCGAGAGGAGTCGACGCAAACATTCGAGGATGCGATCCCCTCGACTGAGGAGGCCGCCACCGCGCAGGGTTTCCGCGTAGGTTATGGATGTCAAGACGTTGAATTCAATCTCTAATGTTCCGTAACAGACCATCAAGACGCCCGTCGCCGATGACATCCGGCAGCTCGTCATCTCCCCGAACTCCGACTACCTCGCCATCGTGACGACACACACCGTTCACATCTGCGTGGTCCCCGACTCATCCCACCTCACCGCCGAAGATACCAGTCCCCTGCGACCGAAGATATGGACTCTTGGGCCTACTACCCACGTCACCTCTCGCGCGTCGGTCGCCTCGGCGATCTGGCACCCGCTTGGCGTCAAGGGATCCTGTTTGGTCACAGTCACCACCGATGCCATTGTCCGTGTCTGGGAGCTGTCCATGACCGATCGCTGGTCCTTCGACTCTCCTACTCTGTCCATCGACCTCAAGAAGCTCGTCGATGGCACAACACTTGACCAAGATTTCACGGCGTCCACCGCGGCCATGAATGCCAGCTTCTCGCAATACTCTCTGGAGATGCAGGTCGCATCAGCCTGTTTTGCTGGCCGTGGATCTGGAGGATGGAGTCCCATGACCCTTTGGGTAGCCATGAGGGAGGGTGATGTCTACGCTCTTTGCCCTCTCCTACCCCAGAAATGGGCGCCGCCGCCAACTCTGATTCCGTCACTCTCTGTGTCCATCGTCTCCAAGGTGGCCGCTTTGGAAGACGACCCGGCAGTCTCGGAGATCGACAAGCTCCTTGCCCAGCAACAACTCGAGTGGATGGGCGACTTGGACTCTCAGGAACCACAAGTCATCGACACAGCACCGGGCGAACAGCCG